AATATTTGTATTTTAAAGGTGACTTTTCTGTCTGTTTTGACTCTTTATCTCAACAATACTACCTATGGCTCTGACCGAGGCAACAACACCAGACACACAATCAGTAATTATGACAACATTTCCCCTCATTAAGGTCAAATATTGATGTTTGTCGTTTTTATCTCAAACATTTTGAGCACATTAAAATGGACTATAGTTTTGACAACATTTGACTATTTTTTACAATTTGTAGATTTGGTTTTGTTCATGTATTTATTTGATTATTTTAGCTATTCTTTGCTGCGTCACTGCTGCACTTCCGTGTGGAAAGCAGTCGGTGAAAAAGTGGGCGGTGACTTGCACGCGGCACAGTCTGTGTTACTCTCGAGCAGCCGTGAACGCGCCTCACAGACCAGACAAGCAGGAAACAGCGGCGGTCGTTTAAGGCCCGACACGGGCAGCACAGTCGGTCCACCTGTCCGATAAAAGACAGTTTTTCATCAAGAAGTGACACTGGTTCTTGTTCGAAATGCTGCTGATCGCATCTTTGGTCCTTCTGGGGACCCAGCTGATGGTTAACGGCGGTAAGTTGGTGTTTTGTAACTATAAAGTTATTCCACAGACCTGGTGCCGAAAAGCAGACAGAAGAAAACTAATTTACTGGATGAACATGTCGGATATCGTCGACTGAACTCGTTACTGAAATGTGGACTTCGGTAAAGTTGGAAAGATATTCACAGATTCGGACTTCCGGCATCAATAACTCTTTAACGAAACGTCATCAACACACAAATTATGCCTCTTTACCATCAGTGTGAGGTGGACAATATACAACACGATCATTTTTATTAAAAGCAGCTGTTTTTCGTGCAGCACAAATAACATTGGTCTCTATGTGCAGCCGGCTGTGTGACCAGAGCGAAGGGAGCGTCTGCAAATTGCAACACTGCTGTTACAGCGAAGACGCATACTACAAAATATACAATGAAGAGTGCTAACATTGCAAAGAAAGATACAGGTTCAAAGATCTGGTCTGAACTGTCTACAACACTGTTTGGTCAGGAGAATCAAAAACACTGTCACTGGCTGTGGGTCATATGAACCAAAATTGTAATGGGGTGAGAGATGTGGTAAACAAACAACAGGAACTGAATGAAGCTCAAGGAATGGAACTTAAACAATCTGATTGTAAGACTAAGGAGCCATCAGTGAGGCATAGTGAGTCATGTAAGGACAGTGGGACAGAGAACCTGTCACTCAGCATGATTCAAGAGGTCCAACACAAGTCAGACGAAGACACAGAAGAGAATGAACAGGAAGAAGAATCAGATGGAAACATGGAAAAGACTGATGAAAAAGAAAAAAGCAGGTGTCATTGCAGAGAGAAAGATTTTTGAAGAATAACCTGTATCTCTCTTTGCAATGTTAGCACTCTTTACTGCACTGACCAATGCTTCCATTCCACCTGCCATTGCCCACAGGTCCTTCCTTTGAGCTGTGCTCCTTTTTTAAACATTGTCTCAAACTGCAGCTAACCCTGGTAAAATGACACAAGCAAAGATAGAACTTATTATCAAGATAAGTGGTACAATATGTAAAACTGCAGTAAAACTAATGAATTGAATATATCAAAACATAACTCAGAACTAGGGCTGCAACTAATGATTATTTTAGTATTCGACTAATCTCTCTATTATTTTTTTTCGATTACTCAATTAGTCATGATTATTTCTGTCACGCCCACCATCTGTGCTTCCTGTTGACACAGCTCTTTTTACAGGTTCCAGTGCAAGTTTTGCCTCAATCTCTAAATTTGCATCCCATGAATGTCTCCCAGTCAGTCACAACACAACATAATGTCCTTAAGTAGATTAAAAGAATGACTCCTGAACCAGTTGAATATGAAATGTAAGCTGAACAGCTTACTTACTTATTTTAACACATTCAAACTCTGCTGTCATGTCATATCCAAACAATACAGAATTGGGCTCAAAAAGAAAACAAAATAAATAAAATAATTTCATTGTACAAAATAAAATGCAAGAGCCTGTCTTTGCTTTGAATTTCTAAAATGACCAAATCAGAACAGAAAATGAGGCTTAATTAGCTTTCACAATATGTTGGCTACCACACCCCAGCACATGCAGACTGAATGAATTCATCCATTTAACTGTTTCAATGTTACAAATGAATGATGTTATTTATTCATGCTATGTATTTATTATTTGCTACCAAACAGTATATAGGCCAAGTCTGATGCTTCAACCCACAGAGCTAAAACCTGGGCTAAGTAGGCTAAGCTAGGGTAAACATCAGATACTTTGGGATTAACTGTAACCATTTTTAAGCCGACCGACTGAGACGCATTACATTTTAATGATGCTTGCGTGTGCTGCTGTTGTCTTCATAAATGATTATGTTTGCCGAAGCGGAACTTCTTGTTTTGTGTGTCTTTGTGGTTACAGTTAATGTTAGCACTGTCAGGGAAGCTGTACACTTCTATAATTCGGTGTTCTATTGCACTTAACACGTTAATTTTCATGAAATGGCCTCGAAATGATTAATGTCTTCTTGAAGTATGTAGCCCGTTTCTCGCAGGGTAAACTAAAATACACACAGTAATGCTAATTTACCCATCTGGAACGCTGGGAGCCATGACTCCGGGGTGCTTTCGTTTCAGATGCTCATGCATGACTATCGTGCTGCCGTGGTGCCAGCTCTGCGTGGCAGTCTGCACATTTCACCTGATTTAACACTTTATTTAACTTGAAATATTGCCAAACTTTGGAAAGACGAGGCCTCGTGTTGACGTCACTCTGACCCTGCTCAGCTTGCGCCTCCACCGGTCTTGAGTTGTTCTTCAATGGTTGAGAACACAGACGCTGCAAATAGTGACAGTAATGCCCCCAGTATTTCTTGTGGTGCATTGCAGACTTAACTCATACTGTCTGGAAAGCTATGGTTGATAAGGACGGTGTTAAGATACCTGGCGCAGTGTTTTATTATCAAAGCCCTTGCAGGATGTTTATAACGCAACGCGTCGACAATGACATTTCGTGTCGATGAATTTTTATTGTCGACATTGTCGACTAGTCGTTGCAGCCTTACTCAGAACTAAATAATGAAATCAAATAAAATGAAAAATACTTTATTTATCCCCGAAGGGAAATTCAATAATAAATAAAACATTACATTTCAGTTCCCATGTGTCCTGGAAAACCTGGAAAATAATTGAGCAATTTCCCAGTCATGGAAACATATGGGGGCTGCAGGGTGGCGCAGTTGGTAGCACTGTTGCCTCGCAGCAAGAAGGTTGCCGGTCCGCGTCCCGGTGTGTGGAGTCTCCATGTTCTCCCCGTGCAGCGTGGGTTCTCTCCAGGTTCTCCGGCTTCCTCCCACACAGTCCAGAAACATGTTGAGGTTAATTGGTGATTCTAAATTGTCCGTAGGTGTGAATGTGAGTGTGCTTGGTTGTCTGTCTCTAAGTGTAGCCC